GTCTCTGAGAACAGTCCATGATGTTAATGGTAGTAGGTTTATCGAACAGAATGAAACATCTATGTTGGTAAAAGTGTTATGTGTGGTAAAGTGGGTGGGTCTCCCATCATTGAGAACACAAAGGCCACCACTTTGTAATATGTTTTCCAGTAGATACCCTCTGTGGTTATTGGTTGTAGATCCCCATATTGTGTTCCAGGCATTGAAGTCCCCGATAACAAGTAATGGAGTGTTGAAAGAGTTTATTACGTTACTTATGTCTCGAATTGATATATTTTGATTAGGTGGAATATAAAAAGATAAAATAGTGAATTTTATGTTAAGGTTAATTTCTACCGCAACAATTTGGTAATCAGAGTTGACAGGAATTAATTTGTGTGGAATGTTGGATTTAATAAAAACTCCAGCTCCTTGTTTAGATGTGGTGTTATTAACAGAATTCACAAAATAACCATTGTAGTTTTTTGGTGGAATTGGTGATGAGTTGAATGCATAGTGAGTTTCTTGTAATGATATAAAGCTTGGATCCATATCCTTAATGAGTAATTGGAGGTTGTGGTAATTATTTATAAAGCCGTTGATATTCCATTGCAAAAGAACGAAGTCCATGTGGGATATTTCTTGAAAGTGAAAAAACTTGTTTGTGAATGGTATCAAGGATATTGATAAACGTATTATTACTATTTTTTTTTTTTTTTTTAATATATTTTATAAAATTAGGAATTAGAGATCCATCGTTTCCTCTTCGAGAGTTTTCTCGACGAGGGGTGGTACAAAGTAATCATTATTTCTGATAAGAGATTGTGTTATACGAGAAAAAGGTGACATGTTATTATTGTTTGTTGCTGAGGGATTGTTTTCAGTTGTGTTGTTTTTGTTTGTTGATATTCTTTTTGGTGTTTCGTTATTTTCCGTTGTTTTAGTTGATATATTTTGTAATGGTTCTTTAATATTTGATTGTTTGTTTATTGAATTAAATTCGTTTTGTTGTTTTTTTGTTGTTGCGGGTTGTTTGTTTGAGTCAGGGTTTTGCGCAGAAGGATTAGTATTTATATCTGTTTGCTTATTTGAATTATCTTTGCGTTTTGTTGGGGAATTGGTTACTGTTGCTGCATAAGAGTTGAATTGATTGGTTGTGGGTATTGGATTATTTTCCCGGTACTTGCGTTTAGCTTCACTTATGCTGCAGTAATTTTTTGTTTTAATTTTAAGTATTTCTCTAATTTGAACGTATCGTGGGCAGTTTTTATCGGCGGATGAGTGTTCACCTGAGCAATTTGTGCAGAAAATACGTGTGCATTCTTCTGAAGCATGTGGTGGAAGACTGCATGTCGGGCATGTAGTGTCTCCTTTACAACGGTTTTTTGTATGGCCTAGTTTCTGGCAATTTTTGCATCTCATTAGATTTGGTATGTAGTGTTCAACTTTACATTTATACCAAGCGACATCTACCGAAGTGGGTAGTCGGTATAGATCGAATGTTACAACAATTTTACCGGTTGGACATCGAGTTTTGCCATCATCGCTGAGTTTTGTAAACTTGTATACTCCTATGACTCCTTGAGATTTCATTTCTTGGACTATTTCTTCTTCTGGGACATTGATTAAACATGGTGCATATATGACGCCTTTAACGGAATTAAGAGTGTCATGTAGTTTGCAAGTGATTGAGCATATATTAGAAAGTGTTTTATTTTTTAAGAATTTTTCAGCAACACGTGCATTACGTGTTAGGATTAAAAGATTACCGTCTCGTAGTAGAGATATAGAGTTAATTTCAGTGCTTATGTTTTCCACACCTTTCTTAATAGCAAAAGGGCTTATTTGTGATAATTGTTTTTTAGGATCACTAGACGAGATTATTACGTATTTTGGGTTGTTTTTATTGTTATTTGGTGTTGGTAGATCTGGGTATTCGTTGGGTTTTTGTTTTTTAGAAGGATTTTCTATAAAATCCCCTAGTACAGAAAATCTATTGTTCGACAATTTGTCCGGAGGCCCCGGAGCCATGGTGCTTGTTATTATTTTTTTTTTTCTTTTTTATGTATAGATTCCTTTATTTATATAAAGTTTTTATAAATTTAAGAAATATAATAAAAAACACGCGGTTAATAATTTAAAGAGAAGAGGTATTGAATATCGATGAGTATGAACTTAACAGTTGTTAGCAGAGAGAATATCAGTAATAAGAACCGTACGCTTTGAAAGCAAGACGATGACTGAAGATCTAATAAAGATTCTGTTTTAAAATAGTTATTTTCTGAGAATATACAGCAGAATACAGGTTTTTAATTAAAAACAGTTTTCCGGTGGAAAACGCTTTAGATGAAAATCGATTTTTGATAATAAATTAAATTGAATACAGATTTTTATTTTACCTAATCGTTAGTTAAGGATCTACAAACATTTCAGAGTTCTCATATAAAAATAAATTTTTTATTAAAAATTTAACTAAATAATAATTCTCATATACTATGAGAATTATATATCATGTCTATAGCATTATAAATGTAACAAAAAGTGGACGGAAAAAGGTCGTTGCATTTGATTATAGGTGTATTTATGCTATAGGTGTTTTTTTCGGATACGACCATAATTGGTCATAGTTTCCATATAAGGCCCACTTCCGGAAATAACTTAAACGCGCATATTTAATTATCAAATAAAGGTATCTTGATAAAAGTCGACACATATATGTTTAGTTGTCTATATGAATCACTCTACGAAATTTTTTTCGGATAAGACCATAATTGGTCATAGCTCCCATATAGGGTCCACTTTCGAAAATCATTTAAACGAATATGTTTCATTGATAAATAAAGCTATCGGTATAAAATTCAATGAATATGTTTTGTATACGTATAAATCGTTCTAACAATTTTTCCTTGGATCGGTCCATTATTGGTCATAGCTCCTATATAAGGTTCTCTTCCGAAAATCATTTAAACTCACATATTTCATTGTTAAATAAAGCTATCTTGATAAAATTCGACACAAATATGTTTTGTGTACATACATATGAATCACTCTACGAAATTTTTCTGGAGAGGCCCGTAATTGGTCGTAGCTCTTATATGAAGTCAAGTTATCTAAAAATTAGATAGTTAAATGGGTTTTAATAAAAAGTAGCTTGCTGGTGGAGGGTATTTAAGATTCGGCATAGCCGAATATAGCACTCTAACTTGTTAACTTCTGCGGTTACCTATTAAATGCCAAATTTCATGTAAATAAGTTTATTAGTTATGTAGTGAAAGAATAAAAAAAGAGTTTCATATATATTTATTATTATATATTATAGGTTTTGAAGATGTAATGCGTCGTACTGTTCATTCCACAACATTCATTATAACAGATTTCATTAAAATCGGATCAGTAGTTTTTTGTATGCCTGAACGTAAATTTGGTTTAATAATTGTTTTACAAAAAGTTGGTGTAAAAAGGGGCATAGCGTCCGATCCTGATCCTGAGATCAGACCAATCGGTTCAGTAGTTTTCTGTAAGTCTCGAATGAAAATTTTGTATAACAATTATATAGAAAAAATGGGCATAAGAAGAATCGTGACGTCAAATCATTATTTTATATAGCCTATTGTTCTACTTTAGAATAGAACTATTAGTGTTCTAAATTTCATGTAAATCGGTTCAGTAGTTTGTCCGTGAAAGCGTAACAAACAGACTTTCTCTTTCATATAATTATAGGATAAGATATAGGTAAGGATAGTTTTATAAAAAGTGGGCGTAAAAAGGGTCGTGGCATCGGATCAAGTTCTTATATATAGCCTATAGTTCTTTCTAAGCGTAACAAACACCCAAACAAACAGTCTATTTTATATATATGTATATATAGGATAGGATATAAACATATAATTAATCACGCGGTATCCTGATTGAACGAAAATTAAAAAAGGTTACTTTCTGGTACTTTTTTTTGTTCTTTTACTAATACTTTTCGAGTTTTCTATAATATTGAACCTAAAAACATAAAATTGGACACGCAGCTTCCTGATTGTATAAAAATGTGTATGCGAGTAATTTCTGGTTGAAAATCAAACATGCATCGTCCTGATTTAATTAAAATCTATAAAAAGGCACTGTCTGATACTTTTTCGATCTTTAACTGTTTTTTTTTAATTGTCTGTAATATTGAGACTAGAATCCTGATTGAACGAAAATTTAAAAAGACAAGATTCATAAAATCAAACTTATATAAAGGGGACTTTTTGATATTGCAGATATGTATATGTATATACATTTACAATAATATTATTTATTTTATTTCATTACGATGAGGGTAGCGAAGCACACTGGGTATAGCTAGTATTAAATATTTCTATTTAAAAAAAAAAAAAATTAAGAAAATTTAAAATTTGATACTTTTACATTCGCACAAAATGTTTTTCCGACATTATTGTGCCTTTCAAATATAATTTTTTCGTATATTTCTTTGCAAGATAAGAAATAAAATAAAGTAAATTGGCTCCCTATTTACATATATATAGTACATATCGCTCATTTACTACACGATTGGCATAATGAAAAATTCGGATTTTTTCGAAAATGTCTATTATTTTCGGTCTACAAATGATTTCTCGTTGTAAACGTCAAAACAAAAGACCCATGTTTTTACTTAATAAATAAAAATGTAATTTAAGTTCAGATGAGAAACATATTAACACCTATTATATATGTTAGGTTTTATTTTTCAGATCCAGCGATTTCTTTGAAAGTTATTTAAGAAATAGTAAAATGTCATAATATTTTTAATGTTTTTTTACCCAAAACGAAGTTTTTGATTTATGCCGGTCTTGTAGTAAATGAGCGATATGACTAACTGTAACTTGCAAGTAACTAGGTAGTTCTGTATATTTTAAATATTTGCAAATATTTATTTTACATGTAATATAAATATGTATGACCTCAAAACTAGTTATTTCGTTCACAAAATTTTTGTTTAAAAATAATTGCCAAGTAATTATATTAATTTCTTTTGTTTAATCCAGATATACTCCAACAAAATAAAAAGACTTTCGAAAGATAATTCTAGCAGCACATCAGATAAAACCATTGTCGATAGTGAATTAAAAAGTATAAGTTCAATTAAAAAAAAGAAATTCACAATGGATGATAAAAAGCTTAATCAAACACCAGTTGATAATATAAATGAGTCAACACCTGACTCGAAAGAAAACTCATCGCAGAATAAATTAATTAGCCCTTCTACATCACAAAAGGTGGAGAAAAGCGTAATGAACACAAATATAGAAGCAAGTCCATGTACAGCAATACAAAAGTTTAATCCAAATATGCGTTTCATACGTAAAAGTGTCGAACAATCTGCTCGGAACGCAAACACAAACTATTTAGAACTGGAAACAGAATTCCCTCGAGATTACGATGATAATATTGAAATGCTATCTCGCGAGGCGGAACATTTAGAAGAGCAGTTCCGTACCCCAACTCGAACAAGTACAACAGATCTAGTTGGCCAACACAATTCATCACTGGCCAGTGTTTCGGTGTCCGTGGAACCTCTGGTCGCAGTTCGACCAGATGTTAATCATGGTTTTATAGATGATACATTACCAACATCAGATAAAGAAACAAAATTAAAAGATAGCGTAGGAAACGTTAAACGTGTGGGATTTAAAGTGGAAGACAAATTTGAAGAACATATACCGGAAAACAGTGTTATACCAAAAGGCATTACGAATATATCTCGATGCTTAGAACTAGGTGAAAAAGATTCATCTTCCACTGAACTTTTATCATCCGAAGAAAAAGCTGAAACATTTATTGAAACATTAGGAAGAGATGCAGGGCAATTAAAAGTAACTCAATCATGTACACTTATGCCGAAATCGTCCTTGGCATCTTTCGTTAGTGGCACTGCACTCTCATCATCAGCTAGCACCCCTGCCATAAGCAGGCCTTCAATTAAAGATGATGATGATGAGCCTGTTGCTATGTCACCATGTGGTCGCTTCTTTAAATATGACAAAGAAGTTGGTCGTGGTAGTTTTAAAACTGTTTACAGAGGCTTGGATACGCAGACGGGTGTTGCAGTAGCCTGGTGTGAATTATTGGTAAATTAAAATTTTATTAAAACTAGATTTCGGAGGTATGACTGATTTTTTTTATTTCTTTAATTAAGGACAAGCAAGTGAAAAAAAGTGAACGTAAACGTTTTCGAGAAGAAGCGGATATGCTGAAAAACTTGCAGCATCCTAATATTGTACGATTCTATACTTATTGGGAATTTACTGTATCGCGTAGAAAAAATATAGTTCTAGTCACGGAATTAATGCTCTCCGGAACTCTAAAATCGTAAGAATTTTACTCATTTTAAAATAATTTTAATATATTTTTTATATGGGGAATTTCATGTCAAATTTGCACTAAGGTTAGTACTATTGGATAGTAGGTGAGACACAAATTGTTAGCTCTATTGGCTGAATGTATTTTTTTTATTTTTTTTTTTTTTTTCAAAATGGGCCCTTTTTTTGTTTTTTTGTTTTTTTTTTTTTTTTTGCTTGAAAGAAAGCTTATACAACTTCCTTGAAGGGCTTTATAGTCCCATAATGGGATGCGAGTGGGATATCTATTAAAAACATTATATTTTAACTCAAGAATAAAATGTTTTTCAATATTTGGCTATTTCCTTTAAGAGCTTTGTGGTCACTTGTGGGATGCAAGGGGCATATGTGAAAAATAAAATAATATTTTAACTCAAAGACTAAACTTTTGGAGTTAAAATATTTTATACTAGCTGCGCGTACCCGGCGTTGCCCGGGTTTCTTCTAAAAGTAAAGAGAATATTTTTCTATCTGTAGTTACTATACTTTTTTAATAGATGTCAAAATTTAGCTTATAACGATAAAACAGTAATTATATTTTCTGCATTTTGTTTAATACTTAAAGTCAGTTTCTGGACCAAAATGTCAATTAAAAATTTACAAATTGAAAATGAGCTTTAATTAGGAAATTTTGACTAATTTGTAGAAACATTTAGGAAACTTTTTTTGAGAAATTATACTGAAATCAGCATTCTCAATCACTGGTAGGGAACTAAGTATACTTTCAAATTAGTTGTTTTATTTTTCCCATGTGCAGTAGATTTAAAGAACTGTTCAGTTTAAATTCGGTCACACTGTACTTTGAATTGTAGTCGCCCTGGTGCATAGAGGCAAAGGACTTCGGGGCATTTTATTAACTACAAAAATACGTACCATTAACCGTACAAAATTTCAAGTGATTTTCTTTCTATTTGAAAAAGTACAGGCAATTGAAGAAACTATGAAACGATTATGAAACATTCTGCACAAAATCATGAAAAATTTGGGCTCATTGGAAGATTTCAAATTCCTTTAAAAATAACAAAATTAAGTTTTTTTCTGTTCGAAAAATATGAAGAATCCTTGAATCTTTACAGAGGAAACAAAACAACTTTTAATTTGACAAACAATTTTGAGTAGTTCAAAAGAGTACAACCACCGTTTCTGTCTCATCATTGTTTCTCTAAAATACATCCATTTATACAAAAGTATGTTTAAACATATTATTTTTATTCATTAGCTTTTATGCATCCACACTAAAGTCTTGGCTGAATTTAGACACCACTTATTAAATCCGAAGAAATAAAGGTCAAATATCGTTAGATGTACAAAGCAGATACATAAAATAATTTTACTTATTAAAGTATCCACATCTTCGCTTAATTAAAAAATTTCGAAATTGGTTAATGGTAAATGGAAAATGTGTGCTGGAATTATTTAAAATCATTATTTAATTTGAAAAGATTCGAATAATTACGGCGCTACATACAGAAAAAGTTGTGCAGAATTTTTGGTTGATAATTTTCTAAAAGTGTAAATAGATATCGAAAGATCAATTTATCCAAATTGTATATGACCAATGCTTTCTATGCATCGTTTGAGAGGACTACCTATATAAGATTTGCAAAAGTGCTATCTTTCGGGACACTCTAATGAGTAGTCAAATTCATATCTTCATGGTTTTTTAGATATGGGCTGCATTTAAAAAATGGCGACCGAATTTATATCAAGATAATTTTTTTGATGGCATATTTACCTGATCATAGATTTTTATTGCTATCTTGATTAGCAATAAATTTAAATTTTATATTTTTGATATAAAACTCGATTTGTATGGAAAATATGTGTGATTACGGATCTTTATTGTTTTCTAAAGTTGAGAGTTATTTAAAGTAAATTTTTAAGAGTTATATAAATAGAAATTTTAAGGGGAGATATGAATGATTTGAATGAATGATAGGTTTTATTAAAGGAACCACAGCCGATTTAAAGTTCGGATTTTAGTGAAAATGTTATATGAATATGGTATTTTCCCTATTTTAGAAGCGGTTTTTGTTCAATAGTTTTTATTCTGCATAAAAATGTGGCATCGTAGGCATTCATTCAAGATCTAAATAAGATTCTGTTTTAAAATATGTAGTTATTTTCTGAGAATATACAGTAGATTACAGGTTTTGAAATAAAAACGCTTTAGATGAAAGTCGATTTTTGATAATAAATTAAATTGAATACAGATTTTAATTTTACCTAATCGTAAAGTTAGTTAAGGATCTACAAACATTTTAGTGTTTTCATATAAAAATACATTTTTGATTAAAAATTTAACTAAATAATAATTTTCATATACTATGAAAATTATATATCATGATCTTTAGCATTATAAATGTAGCAAAAAGTGGACGGAAAAAGGTCATTCCAATTAATTAAGATCACAACAGGCCCGAAATGAGTGCTATAGGTGTATTTATTCGGATTTGGTGTATTAAACATTCTATTCCTCAAACTAACCTAACCTTCCACGATAGAAGTATTGTCATGCAAAATTTCATGAAGCATAAAATCCAGATCAAAAAGTTAATTCCAAAAATACACTGTATGTCGACAAATTTCTTGAAAATCGGTTAATGTTTTTTATATATAGCCTAGAAATTTGGTGTTATAGCTGATATTAAAAAGGGAAGATACAAATGTGTGTAGCTTCCAATCAATCCTATCCTATATATACATAAAACAGACTGTTTGTTTGTTTGTGTGTTTGTTTGTTACGCTTTCACGGCAAAACTTCTGAACCGATTTACATTTGGACTGCTAATAGGTCTAGCCCCAAAAGGAACAATAGGCTATATAAGATCTTGATCGGATGCCACGCCCCTTTTTACGCCTACTTTTTGTAAAACCATTATTACACCAATTTTCCAATCACAATATGCAAAAACTACTAAACCGATTTACCTGAAATTTTGCATACCGATAGTTATAAGCTTTGAAAGAACTATAGCCTATATATAAGATAGTGATCCGATGCCACGCCCCTTTCTTCGCCCACTTCTATATATTATCCTATAATTATATGAAAGATAATGTCTGTTTGTTACGCTTTCACGGACAAACTACTGAACCGATTTAATGATATTTAGAACACTAATAGTTCTATTCTAAAGTGGAACAATATGCTATATAAAATCATGATTTGACGTCACGATTCTTCTTATTCTCACTTTTTTCCATATAATTGTCATACAAAATTTTCATTCGAGACTTACAGAAACCTATTGAACCGATTTACATGAAATTTAGTATACCAATAGGTCTGACCTCAGGATCTGGATTGGACGCCATGCCCCTTTTTACACCAACTTTTTGTAAAACAATTATTAAACCAACTTTACGTTCAGGCATACAAAAAAACTACTGATCCGATTTTCATAAAAACTATTATAATGAATTTTGTGGAATGAACAGTACGAAACATTACATCTTCAAAACGTATAATATGTATTTAATAATAAATATATATGAGACCCTTTTTACTCTTTCCTACATAACTACTAAACCGATTTACATAAAATTCGGCATATTAATAGGTGTAACCTCAGACGTTAAAAAAGACTCTATATTATATTGATTGGATGCTACGCATATTTTTATGTTCACTTTTAGAATACCAGCTATAACACCAAATTTCTAGGCTAAATATAAAAAATGTGAACCGATTTTCAAGAAATTTGGCAACATACAGTGTATTTTTGGAATAAACTTTTTGATCTGGATTTTATGCTTCATGAAATTTAGCATGACAATAGTTTTATCGTGGAAGGTTAGGTTAGTTTGAGGAAGAGAATATTTAATACATCAAATCCAAAAAAATACACCTATACCACTAAATTCAGGAATGTTCTTATATTATATGAGAATTATTATTTAGTTAAATTTTTCATCAAAAATGTATTTTTATTTGAAAACTCTATAATGTTTAACTAACTTTACGATTACGTAAAATAAAAATCTGTAATCAATTTAATTTATTATCAAAAATCGATTTTCATCTAAAGCGTAAAATCGGTTGTAGATCCGTATATAATACTCCCATCACTTATATTTTCCACCGAAAAACTATTCTTATTTCAAAACCTGTAGTCGGCTGTATATCAGAAAATAACTATTTTAAATCAGAATCGGATGTAGTTTCCTACGATCCTAAAATAGGGTAAATGATATATTCATATTACATTTTCACAAAAATTCGAATTTAAATCGGCTGTTGTTCCTTATATAACACTTAAATCTATCTAGAAAATCATTCTTATCTCCCCTTAAAATTTCTATTTATATAACTCTTTAAAAATTTACTTTAAATAACTCTCAATTCGAGAAAACAATAAAGATGCGTAATCACTAATATTTTCCATACAAATCGAGTTTTATATCAAAAATATAAAATATAAATTTATTGTTAAATCGAGATAACAATAAAAATCTGTGATCAGTTAAATATACCATGAAAAAATTATCTTGATATAAATTCGGTTGCCATTTTTTAAATGCAGCTCAAATCTAAAAAACCATGAAGATATGTATTTGACTACTCATTAGAGTGTCCCGAAAGACAACACTCTTGCAAATCTTATATAAATAGGTAGACCTCTCAAATGATGCATATAAAGCATTGTTCATATAAAATTTGTATGAATTCATCTTTCGATATCTTTTTATATTTTTAGAAAATTATCCCCCAAAAATTCTGCACAACTTTTTCTGTATGTAGCGCAGCTTTTCAAATTAAATAATGATTTTGAATAACTCCAGCACACATTTTCCATTTACTATTGACAAATTCCGAAATTTTTTTAATTGGACGAAGATTTGGATATTTTAATAAGTAAAATTATTTGGGTATGTTTTTTGTATATCTAACGATATTTGACCTTTAAACCTTTATTTCTTCGGATTTAATAAGTGTTGTCTAAATCCAGCCAAAACTTAAGTGTGGAT